ATGTGTGTGTATACATGTGTGTGTGTGTNTTATGTGTGTGTCGGTATGCACTTTTTTATGTATGCAACTGTATATGTGTGTATACATGTGTATGTGTNTTATATGTGTTTCGGTATGCATTTTTGTATGTATGCAACTGTACAATTGTATATGTACAATCGAACAAAATTGTATATGTGTGTGTATATATATGTGTGTGTATGTTTTATGTGTGCGTCGGTATGTTTTTTTATATGTTTGCAACTGTACAGTTGTATATGTATGTGTGTTTTATGTGTATGTCGGTATGTTTTTTTGTATGTTTGCAACTGTACAGTTGTATATGTATGTGTGTTTTATGTGTATTTCGGTATGCATTTTTGTATGTATGCAACTGTGCGTGAGTATATATGTGTGTTTTTTTTTATGAAAGTGTATTCTCGACCATAACGACATCTGCCATTTAGTTCGTTACACTCTTATCATTCTCTTGTGTCCGCTCTGCTTTTTTTTTTATAATCCCACCTGCTTGCAACCACCATGTTCGTTCTTGTCTATGATGCGTGATACTAGGTTGGCTTTCTTTGTAATGTTAAAATCGTTCGTAGTAAATATTAAACGGGTTGACTTACGGGCTTTCTACATTTGTATTAAGTAATAACTGATTAATGATCTTTTGGCATGATTTTAGAAACATTTTGTTCATTTGAAAATGTCTATTTGAAACTGGAACATTTAAAATGATGCACGCTTTATAGGCTATCTATTTAACTGTAACTTCAATTGATCGTCGAAAATACCGACGATGTTTGTTCATATTTGGTGTTTTAATTTAATTAATTGTAAATTAATTTAAAAATATTTAATCATCCATTGCAGTGTGTCGGGCTAGCCTTTCTGATCCAAACCTGCAAGACATTCCATGGTAACCCAGTGATTCCACTTTTGCACCAGACTGGCAATCATACCCCGTAACCACAGAGATACCCAATCTCAGTCCCAAACTAACATGAACGTCAGCGTCAAATGGGATTATTAAGTTTTCTGCTTAAATCTCGATTCGTATCATGTAGGTATGTAGGTACGTATATCCAAATAGGCAAGCAAACTATATTTAGCGTGAAAATGTTTTTAAATGTTTTATTAAAAATTTGTTCTTAATAACATTGCATATTTTAATTAACAAAAATTCAGTTTTTACACACGTTTTGTCAAATTTTTTAGGAAAAATATAAGATCCAACAAATTTAAAATAAAATAAATTCATCTAAAAAAACAAATGGAAACAAACTTTGAAATCGATTTTTCCGCTGTTGTCAGCGTCGAACGTCCTGAAGACATGCTCGCAAAATTTATCCGCCTCGCCCTGTGGAAAGAAACTGGAGTAGACTTCGAGAAACTTCTCTCTCGTTAGCTGGCCGTTTGGACAATCTTTCTGTTTTAAAAATTTACAAAATATAACTAAAATGAATACCATAAATTTACCATACCATAAATTTACCTTTTACCATAAATTTAGATAAATTGATACTTTTATTTCAAAATGAAATGATACCAAGAAGTAAAACTCCAAATTTCATTTGCAAATATGTTTGTGAATAAATTATTTTTTCAGCCATTTGAAAATAATTATTTCAGAAAAAATAATTATATAAAAAATGACATTTTATTTTTCACCAATCTAAACCACGCCAGGCAAACAATTTTGAAATATGTAGGTATATAAATATCTGAAATGAAATATCACACATAAAAGAACAACCAGTTGGAAGCATTGTGCTCGAATATTAAATACACTAAGATAATAGTGAGAGGACAATAAACATAGGATTAAAATTTTCATGTTAATTTATGCTGCAAAATTTATTTCATGATAAAATATGACGTATCAAGTCATTAACTGAAAAATGTGCTTTTTTTCGCTATAGTAATTTCGATTTTATTTGGAAGTTTTTTGGTCCTCAGAAAAATGAAGAATGAGAAATAGAGATGTGTGTAATGGTGATGTGACGATCACGAAATATGGTTTTGTCTAAGTAAGAAATTAGTATTTTATTGCTACGTGCAGTGCAGTTTTTATTTCAAAATGGCATTTGTTTAAAACGGTAGGCATTAATGATTGTAATGGCTTAATGATCTGAAGTTCTGTGACTGCGATAGAATTTTGTAAAAATTTCAAAAAAATCTTCATATTTTGATGTGATTAATGATGTTAATGAATGTACCGAAATGATAGGCAATGATTATCGCTACAATACAAAAATAGAATTTTTGTATAGTTTTAAAAATAATAATTTATGATAAAATGAAGTAAAACATAAATAAGAAATATAACAAAGTTAGCATGTGATGATGCTTTGAATTAATATTATGATCAATATTTAGATACTAGTTGTTAACTAGATCAACTCAGTGAGATTCGAAGTTTCAAAACTTTGTAAAATAAAATTTTTAAAAATATATAGAGACAAAACATTTGCCATTGAAAAATTTTTTTATGGAATATCATGCAGTGATGAGATGATGGAATGTGACGAAGCTATGCAAGGCACGAGAACATGTAGGTCAGGGGTGGCAAACTTTTTGCTGTGAGGGCCGCATTGAAAACTATTTTAAATTTGAAGGGCCGCATGTGTACTTAAATAGCAATTTTTTTCGAGAATTTTTTCAAAGATAAAAATTTGTGGCTCCTTTTTTTTAGCCTTAATGTTTGGCTGACGTCCTTTTTTGGCGAACATAGCCTCGCGTTCCGGCCGCATAAAATAGCTTCCGTAGTTTGCCCATCCCTGATGTAGGTAATACTAAAAAATATAAGACTGAAGTTTGATTATTTTTGCTGGTCCACCATTTTTTGTTTGCTTTTTTCAAAGAAGTTATTTAAAATATTGAGAAATTTTGAAATTTATTAATTTATTTTGTTATAAGAAGTTCTGTTATATGCTTCACTCAAGTTAATTGATAATTTTCCGGTTTGAAAACACGGAAGCAGATTGTTTCAAAAATATAAATTTCAATTATGTATTAGTTTTGAAATAATTAATCATCAAAAAAACTTAAAATTCCGTTTAGTTCAAAACTTTTAAATAATGGCTAAATTATTATAAATTTTAATCAAATTAACGTGAATTTTATGATGGCAATGAAATATCGAACCTCAAATAAATCAACATTTGCAAGTGGCAAAAACTCACCTCAATTATTAATACTGAATTTATACATTTGTGTAACCTTATCCATTACTATCAAGTTAATAATTTTGTGAGAAAATAAAAGTTCTTTGGGTGAACAATGTTTTAGTTCAATTTTCATGAGTTTTAAACATAAATGATCATTTATTCAACGTTCTCTGATAAACTGCATTCTGCAAAACTTTATCTTTTTTCAAATTTGAAAAAAATAAAATTTATTTTTCTCTTAAACATGTAGAAACTGAAATAGCTTTAAATATCTGAATAACATTAACGAACAGTTAAATCTAATTAGTTTAAGCTCATGTAATTAAACGATAATTTATGTTTGAAACTCAAAAAAATTAAAAATAAAAGATAATCTATGTTTAAAACTCGAATAATTGGACTAAAACATCTTTCACCGAAACATACAAAATTGTTACAAACACATTTCATTGTTGCGTAGAGTTAACAAATAAAAATTACTGGAAAAATAATGTACGTGTATCAGTAGGATACGTTTGACTGTGCTCGTACTCTAATTAAATCGTCAAAAATAAAATTTGCCTGGTGATGGTGGTGTAATTTTTTGATGCATGGCTGATGAATTATTATTTTATGAATTTATGGATTACTTTTTTGAATGTTGGGGATTTCGCTTAGTTAAGATTTGCTCTTTTGGAATGCCCCATCGTGTAACAAATTTATTGTCCGTTCATAATAAACGAGTAAATGTTATTCGCGCTAGTGATAATGTGCTGATGTTTTATAATGTCGCGATAACGATGATGTTAATAACTTTTTTCTATATACAAATAATTTTATAATTTGGCAAGAGAATGGCAATTTCTTCCAGGTTATCTCCATTATCGATAGTTTGTTTTTGTGGTGTTATCAGTGGAACTTTTTAATTTCTGCACTGTATAACTAGGCCATCGTCATAGTTCAGATTTTTTAAATCAATATACTAGACAGCCACAACATCAATCTTAATAATGCCACGGACTCCATTCTAAAATAATTGAAAGATAATAAACTCTTTAATGTTGGATTTAACAAGTTGGTTTTTTTATCTCGTCATTTCGATGCAGTTTTGTTGCAGTTCTGTGGTAATACTATCAACATTCATTCTTTCACTCACTCACTCACTCACGCTACTTTCAATGGTATAACCCACCATCGTCATTACCATCATCATCATATTAATCGTCACCATCATCACTGTCGTCATCTTCATCATCCTTTTCATCGGCAAGTTCATTTGCTTCAACAAATCATAATTGTCACAATAGAAAAATATAATTGTCGTCACGGAAAAAATATCTCCATCTTAGCAAGTGCTAAGAAAATTGTGTTTGAAAATTGCAACATTTACAATATAAATACAACATTGAAATTAACATTTACAGTTTCTGCGTCTGTCAAATCCTGATTTTAAAAAAATAAAAAAAAATTGATGAAAATGTAAATAAAAGCGAGGGTTTTAAAGTGGATGTAAGTAGAAATGAATGCAACCGAGTTGATTGTTTGGCGTTTAACATTTGCAATTATATGCTTTGGTGCATTTTAAAAATCCAGATATAATTAAAAACCAACCAATGACACACACACACACAAAAACACGCAAACACACACAAAAGAAACGCGGCACTAATAACTAAAGGGACAAAAAGACACATCAGCGAGACAATCAACACGTACAATTTAATAAAGAAATATGGAAACCCGGCATCCAACATGTATTTATAGTTGTAAAATGCTGTCGTTATAACATGAAAAGTGAAACACGTGATAAAAACACACACACGCACACACACACGCACGCACAGTCAACTTTATGTTCATTAACCATGTGCCTTGGAGAAAGTATGTTATATTTCCATGACAAAAATTGCATTCCATTCCATTATTTGAATATCTATATAATGAAAGTTGAACTATTTGAAAATTGTGAAACAGTGATCAAGTTATCTATGTCGGCAAACACGCGCAATTAGAACAACAATTTAGTAACCACAACCAACATTTGAATGTCTGAAGTATTAACACCCTTCACAAACAAGTATCTACACCACCGCTAATTTCAAAAAAAAAAAAAAAAAAAAAAAAAACATGAATGACAAGAAAAAACATACTTGTAAAATAATGTATATAATCCAATCGGCCAGTAAGATAACCTGACATTACGTAAAAAGTAAAATCTACAAAAAATAATCAGTAACATTGAAAGGTAAAAATAGTATTTTCAGAGGAACAAGAGTAGCTAACATAGGCAAACTACACTTGAATATAACCAACCCGGTTAAATAAATAAATAAATATTCAACTGCAAATTGCCACTAAGACGGTTCGAGCACGGATCCTTATCTTCCGGTCTGCCTTCAGCTAACGACTTTCAAAAAAAGTGTTAATGAATGTGATTGTGTTTGTTTGTTTGTGTGTGTGTGAATATGTTTATGCATGTGTGTACGTGTCTGTCTGTATGAATATGAGAATGTATGCATCAGTATGTACGAATATGTGTATGTATGTGTGTAAGAGTCTGTAAGAGTATGTGTAGGTATGTGTGTGTCGCGTATGTATGTGTTTAAGTGTCTGTATGAATATGTTTGTCTCCAGGCAGTTAAAATTCACGGTACAAATAAATACATAGGTACATTTTCAATCAATATAAAATTTTAATTTTATGAATATCGGCTTGTTGGTAAAAGTTGCGCGCGTCAGTGCGTTAAAGTCTGCGTTGGTGTATTTGTGTGTGTGTGTGTGCATTCGTGCCTATGTATGTGTGAGTGTATGTTTGTGTGTATGTCTGTGTGAGCGTATGTTTGTGTGTGTATGTATGTCTGTGTGTGTATTTGTGTATGTATGTATGTCTGTCTGTGTATTTGTTTGTGTGTATGTCTATGTGTAAAGTTGTGTGTGTGTGTGTTTGTGTGTGTAATTGTATGTTTATTTCTATGTTGGTTTTTTGCTTACGTTGAAAAACACGCGCGCTTGTATGTTTTCATGTCTGGCTGGCTGGTAATGGTCGTGTAGCGAATACTTTCTTTCCGGCATTATCTTGCCACCACCTTATTAAGAGCTTTTTTAAGCCAGTTTACTCTCTCACATCGATTTCTTTGATTTTTTTTTCAAATATAAAGATAGAAAATATGAAATTTGCCTCGATAGTTATAGATTTGTTTATAAGCTGGATAATCTTTTTATTTTTCGGGATGTAGTGTTTTTTCGAATAATTATATTTTTGTTTTTATTTTTATTTAAATAAATGAACGTTTTGCCAAAACAAGAAAAACAAAAGTCAAAAAACCTGAAAATCATTACGCAAATAATAATAAGAAAAACACAATATTTTTCATCAGAAATGTGGCTCAATTAACTCCTCCTCAACAGTGAAATCATTTTTCTTTCCAAATTTGATTGATCAACAACTCGTCCTTTCCATATGATTTTATATTATATGGATATTACTTATATATATATATATATATATATATATATATGTATGTATTTAATTATATTTATATATACATATATATATTAACTTTATATGTGTGTTTGTGTTTTTATATAGTTCCTTAGAATGTTTTTTGCAAATTGTTTGAAAATTTGTTTATCTGGGCTTATATGTACACTTAATTGAAGAAAGAAACAAAAAATTGTTTTATTTGTATTCGGTATATTTCGGTTCGATAAATAGTCACAAAATATTTTTTCTACAAATAATTGTACAAAATTTTGTCTGCACAGTGCACTGCGACGATCCGTTGACAACTAATTTTATCCAGAAATATCAAAAAATTGAACAAATGCACATAAACCGGGGAGAATATTCCGACAAGAAAGATATGACGGATGGCATAGCAATGAAATTATTTCCTCGTCTGGGAATGTCCTCCCCATGAATGATAGGCTGTAATCGTTTGAAGCTTAAAAGTAAATGAATAAAATCAGTGTGTACTTTTGTTCGGATCATCATTATTATTATAATTATTATTATTATTATTATTATTGTTGTTGTTATTGACATGAACAAAAACAAAAAATGAGCTAACACAAACACAGTCCCTCTGCCCATATCAATAAAATTATCGTAAACAAAAAAAAAATCAATTAACATTTTCCAACGAAAATATAATAATAAATAAAAGTTCACTCTCCGGATCGTAATAGTTTTAAGTGTAGAATTGCTACAACGTTTGTTAAGTTGGATAGTGTGTTTTTCTAGTGAACAAGTGAATGTGACGACATCATCCAATTTTCAATACTATTTTCACGCTTCATGTATCTTTCATCACCTATCTTAGAGTCGTAACGTCAAATTACATCAGTTATAAATGAAAATTTATTCCATTTATTAAACTTCAGTTATAAATTTTTTGTTATATATCTCGATATTTCACAAAAAAATATTCTTCAATGTGCCAGTTGTAAAAATTTGCGCTCGTTATTTGAATCGTGGTCGCACGTGAATGAATTATGTGTGATATGTGCCTAGCTACAATTTCGCAGTGGAAGACTAAAATTTTTAAAAAAATTTTCTCAAGCCCACCCTCACCCACCTTATTTTGCTCCTTTTCGTTTATAAATTTTATAGCCACCCTAGCAGCGAGCTTCTACATCAGGGAAGCAAGCGCATTTTAAACGATGAAACGAACCAAGTGACGATGGTTTGATTACTGGAAATTTTTTTTGAAAAACAGTTGAAAAAATTTGAATGGATGCACGTGGCTGATTTCGTGTGATATGTACTTTTTTCAAACATCTGCAATCGGGTTGGATTTTTTTAAACTCTTTAAAATTTCATGTTTTAAAATCTGAACTTAAATTAAATTTCAACAAAGGAATTATTTATTTCAGAATTTTGATGTTAAAATAATTTTATATTTGAGCAGAGCAACACAAATTTTAAAAAATATAAAAACAGTGATCCCCAAATTGCTTTTCAAAAGAAATAGGTTTGGATGTCTTAAATTATCTGAGAAATAAAATTTGATTGAAAAATAATTGCATTTTTAATGTTTATTTAAACAAATCGAAAAATCATTTATTTTATTAAAAAGCCATTAAAATAAATTCAGAATTAATAGAAGTAACCCAATGGCAGTTCAATCTTCAGGAAAAAAAATAAGAATAAGAATTCGTTTGCTTCGAATAAAAATTTATTTTTCATAAATTTTTTAACACTCCCTGTTATTAGCATGTTTCAGAATCTACGTTTTTGAGTTAATACTGCACACAAACCATGTTCAAACACTTCATTTCAAACCTGATATCACTACACGTCCAATTGCTTGTACATGCAGATGAGTGTGTGATTCTTGCTAGTGTTGGTGTGCCATCTCATTTTATATCTGCTACGAATTCGATACATATTATATTATCAAACTACGTACAATCAAACGAGCCATCATACAACCGACAAATAATCAATTTTGGAGTTGAAACCATAATCCTGTTATAAAATGAATCAATGAAACAAAGGAATATTTAAACACTCTGGCACTCTATATTAGCAACAATATCTAAGACAAATTCATTAAACTTTCTAACAAAGCCAACAACTAACAAATAAAGTAAATAGACCAAACAACAAAACAGAAAAATACTTTTAACCAGCGAAACCCAAAAACAAGACATCGACCGGGCATTAAATAAACCAACAAACCTACCACTAACTCAGCAAAATGTAGCGAGACATAACGAATGGCTCAATTAGGCAACTCAATTAAGAGTGAAGTACATAGGATTAGTATAATCTCACCCAACGTTTCAGTGCATGCATGTGCCAATGTGTGAAGAAATTCTACTCAAAATACGTTTCTTTGAGTTTTCTATACACAATGCTTGTATAAGTAAATTTTTTGTTTGCATGTTTTAAATTCTTGATGTCTCCTCATTGGTAATTTATTTTCTAACCTGAAATTCTGTAATTAATAGTTGAAACAATTGATAGAATGATTTTAAAATAAAAAATTACAAAAAATTCTTATCCATGGATTTTGGTTGTTGGTTGAAAGTAATGATGTAATATTATTGTTAACATGCAAATGGATTATTTCCATTTCAATTAATAACTCTATAACCGTTTCGTTATAACTTATTTGACGCATCTTTTATAAAAAAATTTATAAATATTTGAACTGTTCAACGTTCAACTTGTAAAACCATGAATAAATATAGGGTGAACATAATAATGTATATAGCATGACGTTAAAACTTCACAATTATTGTGATACAACTGCTATATCCCTTTGAATGCTATTTTCTAAAATGAGTTCAACGAACCTATTCAATTAAATATACTCAAAATTTTGATTTAATCTTCACAGCATCCATGTAAGTGTTATTTATGGCTGAAGTAAAGAAGGAAAGGTAACAAAATTATCTCATCAAGTAGCATTGCAGCCTGTCACGACAAAGGTTAATGTGCAAATGAAACTCTCTTTTTAAATTGGCAGAACTTCTGAAGTTAATTTACTTACTCGGTGACGACGCAAATGATAGTTTTAACTCTGACGCCAGGGAATTTTATTTATTTGATAATTTAGTTAATTTTAAGTTATTCACCAAGTTATCGCAATCGAAAATATTTTTTTTTATAAAAATGATCGTTACGTATTTTTCATTATTGTTATTTGCGGCGTGTATTTTATTCATTTATCTGATTTGTACATATTACCGAAAGTATAAAATTTCAAAAATTGATTCCAACATAAAATTGCCACCGTGCCTAAAGTCACTACCCGTGGTTGGCTCTCTCTTATCCATGCCATTCAGGGACCTTAACAAGCTACCTGCTTTTTTCATGAACAAATCGAAATCTCTCGGACACATATTTTCTTACTACATGTGCACGAGGTTTGAGTTGAATAATAATTAATAGAAAGAAATTCTATCTATCGTGCAGTTGTTATTTTAGATACGTAGTTTTGTTGAATGGTCGGAAAACGGTACACGAGGCTTTGGTCAAACATTCACTTAATTTCTCGAGTCGACCTATGTTTTATATGGATGATTTTGTCAACCCGAAACGTTCAGGTTTGAGAAAAATTAAATTGATAAGTTATATTTTTTTAATAAAGCTTTTATTTTAATTTATTCGCGAAATTATATTTGTGGAAAATATTTGTCTTTTTTCTGCACCCAGGAATAGTTAAGCATCCTTACGATGACCACTTCAAATTTCATCATCGAATATGTATCAACGTTTTGAGAAACCTGGGATTCGGACAGGGAATCATGGAATCTAGAATCAAAATCGAAGTTGAAGATCTCGTAAGAAGAATTGAAATGAAGAACAAACAGGCGTTTGATCCATCTTTCGAAATAGTTTCTGCTGTCTCAAACGTCATATGTAGCATAATATTTGGCAAGGGATGGGTCAAAGAAGATCAAGAATTTCTCGAAGGATTGAATCTCATGTACTCCATGATCAACAGTGCTAACAAGTCTCTGATCATCAATTTCTTTCCCATTTTACGTCATTTCACCTACTACAAAAAAATTATTGACAACGAGAAGGTTCTATTCGGTCGATGGCAAATTTATATCAATAAAATAGTCAACAGAGTTGTGAAAACTGAAGAAAGCGAAAATTTTTGTCGCTTGTATTTGGAAGAAGCGAAACATTTTGCCAATGTAACATTTGATGAGGACCAATTTATCGGCACCATAACAGATCTGTTTGCAGCAGGTGTAGACACGACTGCAACCACTTTGCGCTGGTTCATCGTCATGATGGCTAACAATCAAGATGTTCAGAAGAAAATTCAGGATGAGTTGGAAAGAGTTGTTGGTCTCAAAAAAGTTCCATCTCTTGAAAATAAACCTAATCTTCCGATCACTGAAGCTGCTATTTTAGAGGTCATGAGGTTTAAGACTCTGCTACCATTCGCATTCCCACATTGGACCACCAAACAGACAATTATCGACAACATTTTGATACCTAATAATGTCATGGTAATTAAAATTTTTTTAATTTTGTGACAAATAAATTATTAATTAAGAAATTTACATCCAATCTTACTCAGGTAATGCCAAATTTGTACAGCGTTCACATGAACACTGACGACTGGAATGAACCAGAAAAATTTAAAATTGAAAGATTTTTGAACGAGGATCAAACCCAAGTTGTTAGGAGAGATCTCATCATGCCCTTTTCTTTGGGTATGCATTTAAGTTTTTAGAAATTTATATCAACAAATGATACTTTATCATTTAGATTTCCTAATGTCATATGACTTAACAAGCTTATTTATGAAAGTTTGCTTGAAGTGTTTTTTGGCTGAAGTTATAAAAAAAAAATTTAGAAACAAAATTTTATGCGGGTTATCTCTAATTAGAAAATGACATTAATTCATATAATAACTACTTTTTAAATTTTGTTTCACAAATTATTTAGTTTCTCAGAAAAGTCTAGTATAAAAATAATTTTATAAAATAGTCAAAGGATTTTTCCAGAGAGTTTTTCTTTCAGGTAAACGAGCGTGTCTTGGAGAGGTCCTGGCTAAGCAAGAAATATTTTTATTTGCATCGACACTGTTACAAAAATTCAACATTGTTCCATCGGAGGGTGAGGAGAAAATATTTGTAACTGAGAAAATTGGCCTAACAAACACCCCTTCCCCTTACAAAGTCAGATTCATTTGCAGAAAGTAACATGCCGTTCATTTGAATGATAAGGTGTGTTTCATTTTTGAGTTTCTCGTAACGTAACAGTTTTTTTTTTAGTAGTTTTTCATTTTTAAAAAATTTTTTGAACAAAATTTTATTTTAATTTTAATTTTATTTTAACAATTTTAATTAAATTCAGAATTTATTTTTAAAACAGTTCTATATTCTATAACCGATATTTCAAAAACGTTTATGTAAAATATATAATTTTGCAAACTGTTTAAGATTTTTCAAATAATAAATTTTTATAAAAACATTTTTGCATTGAATTTTATTTATTGAAAAAAAATGGATAATTTCAAATTTTCGAATGTCAATTATTTACGACATTCAAATTTCAATCTCAAACACTTATCGGAAAGTAATTTAATCTATCTTTGAAATGAAACACCGAGAAATAAAGAAAACTATTCAATCGTATCAAAATAATTATTGTTTTCTAGTTTTGTGCATCAGTGAAATTACTTAAAAAAAAGTTTATTTTTAAAACTCAAAAACTTTTCTTTATATCTCATATAAAATTATAAATAATTCAACAAAACTCACGCATTAAAAAATAATTTAATTTAAAATTTAAAAAAAAAACTTTGACATTTAATTTAAGAATAATTTCAGGGCGGTCTTTCATTTTTGTTGAAACAGATCTGATTCATTTGGATAAAAACCTCGAAACGATCATTATTAGTTTCAGCAACGTTAACTTTTTATTTGATTTCATTTATTATTTTTTAATGTAATCTTAACATTATGTTAACATTAACAGTGTGTGTGTCATGGTGCGAGTGGTAGTTCTTGTATTTCATAACAAACTTGAGTTAATTTGCGGTTTTCTGGCGTTATTTTTGTTTCAAGGTAATTTTAAGTTGCTTTAAAATTATTGAAGTTCGTTATTTTTCTATAAGTTTTTTTGAATTGGTTTTAAATTCGGTTAATTTAGTAAATTAAAAACTAAATTAGAATTGGAAAATTTTACTTAAATTTTGACCTGGTTTGCTTGTCTGTAATTCGTTGACAAGGATAAGTTTATCTGCATTGTTTTGAAAACTAGTTCAATTAATAGGTTTACCTGTGTTGTTGTTTTTGTGTACGTACATTATGGGTACCCGAGACAAATGTAAATGTAAAAACACTACTAATAAAGACTGTCAGCAATGTAAACTGTGTGAATTGATTTATCACGAACTTTGTTCAGGTTTGCGATGTGCTCAATGTGGAGAATCATTTCATTACAAATGTTTGTCGATGACAAGTGAAGATTATGACTTCATAAAGAAATGTCGCAACTTAATCTTTAAATGTGATAATTGCATTGATTCTTTGCCATCCGTAGAGCAACTGGTAAAGAATTTTGATGAAAATAATAAAGTTTTGCTTAAAGAGATAAGTAAATTACATAAAATGAATGAAAGCATGAAGTCCGAAATTAATGATATCAAAGTGAAACTTGTTGCTGAAGATAATCAGAAAAATCAAGAGTAGAATGACGCGATGAAATGAAAAATTTCAAAACTGAATTAAAATCTTCCTGGTCTGAGGTCGTCAGTCGTGAAGTAAAAAAAAAACATCGATGTAATAAATATCGAGGTAAAGAAAAATGTTGATGTGATAAATACAGAGGTTAAATGTTTGCAAAAAACATTAAACGAATCGGCTGAACAAAAGGAACGCAAGAATAATATGATGATCTTCCGCTTGAAAGAAAGTGATGCTGACAAAAGCACGTTATGAAGATCCTTAACCATCTTTCTGACGGTGTTATAACTGACAAGAATGTCATCAAATTAATAAGAATTGGTAAAAGAAGTGAACGTGTCATTAGACCAATATTGCTAAAATTTGATGATTTAAGACTCAAGGATTTACTTTTTAAAAATATAGGTAAAATGAAAACAATTGGTGATGATCTCGCTCAGGTAAGGTTAAGTCATGATCTTACCAGAGAACAAAGAAATGAATTAAAAAAATTCCTTGAGGAGGCTCAGAAAAAGACTGTTGATAGTAAAGGGGATTTTTTGTTCAAAGTTCGAGGAGATGTGGGAAAGTGGCGGGTTGTGAAAATACCAGCAGGAAAGATATAGCAATAATAGGTGGTAGATTGGGCGCTAGATCGAATATAAGTATATAATAATTGTAACTTAAAGCATAAAGATAATTATGGCATCTCAAATGATTTTGTGATTTTTGGTTTATTAAATATTAGGTCATTGGTTGGGAAAGTTGATAGTATTTATGAATTGATTTACAGTGGTATGGATGTTTTGGTGTTAGTGGAGACATGGCATGGGTTGGCTGGTGATGTTGCAGTTGGGTTGGCCAAGCCACCTGGTTTCTTTTTTGTCGATTTTGTAAGACCGCATGATCCTGCACACGGGGGATTGGTTATTTATTTCTGATCCACTTTTGGTTGTAATAAAATAACTCTGCCGGTGTTCACTACTTTTGAGGCCATTGCAATAAAGTTAAAAATAGAACGATATAATTTCATATTGCTATCCGTATACAGACCTGGTTCAGCACAAATATCTACGTCATTTTTTAACGAACTTATATCAGTATTAGAACACATTATAATGATGAACTCGAATATTATCTTGATGGGTGACTTTAATGTTCATGTGGAGAGAATGGATGACCCTCATACAATACGTTTGTTAGAAATATTTGATATGTTTGATCTGGTCAACCATGTGAAAGGCAAAACTCATTCTCATGGTGGTACACTGGACCTTATTGTCAGCTCCCGTAGTTTTTTTGTGGCTGAGATATCGATTCATCCCAGTGAAGTATACTCCGACCATGGTTGTATAGTAGCAAAAATAACGATTCCTCGACCATGCGGTAATTTTGTCAAGAAATTGGCTCGATCATGGAAAGATCTAGATGAAGATCAGTTCAAAGAAAGCATCTTAAAATCGGCTATTGCGGGTACATGTCAGGGGAGTGATGTTGAAGCTGAACTGATGTTGTTTGAGATTGAACTAAAAAGTATAGTTGACAAATTAGTTCCACTCCGGGAGATTCATATCAAATGTAATCATGCTGCACCATGGTTTGATGCGGATTGTTTGCGTGCAAAAAGAGTGTGCAGGAAACTTGAAAGGCATTATAGAAAATGTTCATCAGCTACAAGTCGTAATAATTGGGTGAATTCATTGAGGCAAAAAAATGCGCTTTTTTCTGATAAGCGTACACATTTTTTAAAAAATCAATTTAAGAACATCAACAATTCTAAAGATTTTTGGCAGGCAGCTAACAGAATCCTATGCGGAGACAAGAATAATATCAATTCTGATGTTGATCTAAACCTGACTCCTTCTGAATTCATGCGTTTTTTTGTTGATAAAACAAATAAAATTATTCGTACCACAGATGTTGATTATGATCCATCACTCGATGACAATAGGTCAAATATCAACTGCCTTTCATCGTTGCCAAAAATTACTCAGACTGATCTCAAAAGGATTATAAATGGTTACACCATCAAAAACAAGTGTTCTTGATATAATTCCAACACACATTTTAAAAAAACATATTGACTTGTTTATCAGTTACCTAACCAGTTTTGTTAATTTATGTCTGGAATCAGGACAGTTTCCTTGTGGTCTGAAGCATGCGGTGATTAAACCAGTTTTGAAAAAAAATAATTCGGATGGTAATGATATTTCAAATTATAGGCCAATATCGAATCTTTCATTTATTTCAAAAATTATTGAGCGTGTTGTTGCTGAAAGTCTGTTGACTCATTTAACAAAAAACGGCCTTATGCCAATTCACCAATCAGGCTACAGGCGATTTCATTCGACAGAGACGGCGCTGTTACATGTTTTTTCCAAACTGATTTCAGAAATCGATGCCCAGAATATTTCACTGTTGTCATTCCTGGATATGACAGCGGCATTTGATTGCGTCAATCACAGTATATTGTTGAAGAAGTTATATTATAATTTTGGAATTTGTGATCCGGCATCTGCATGGTTCCAGTCTTACTTACTAGACCGTACTCAGCAAGTTCAGTTTAAGGATGTTTCATCAGAAATAAGCGTGGTATCTTCTGGGGTCCCTCAAGGTTTGGTGTTAGGACCCATTCTGTTTTTGCTATACACTTCGGACTTAGCCAAGATAATAAATTCACATGGATTGAACTATCATGCGTTTGCTGATGATGTTCAGGTGATTGTAACATGCCGGCCCCAAGTGTTTCAGCGTGAAATAGATAGATTTGTTACATGTTAGATGGACGTAGAACGCTGGATGTCAAGCAATTCTCTTAGATTGAATCAGTGCAAAACCCAGTTGCTCCCGGTTGGCACTTGGCAGCAGCTATCAAAACTAGATGTTCACTCTGTAAAAGTAAAAAATTTTGAAATATTTTTTAGCAAAACCGCATCAAATTTGGGAGTTTTGTTTGATTCTCATCTTATAATGAAAGAGCATATCAAAAACATATCAGTTTCTAGTCTGGCTCATCTTAGAGGCTTGTACAGAGTCAGACGATATTTAGACAGGGCTGATATAGAAACATTGGTACATGCTCTTATAACGTCCCACCTTGATTATTGTAATAGCTTGTTTTACAAATTACCCCAGACATCAATAGCTATTCTGCAATCAGTTCAGAATCGTGCGGCTAAACTTGTAACGGGCAGCCTAAAGTTTGATCATGTTACGCCGATATTGAATCAACTTCACTGGTTATCAATCAATAAAAGGATAGTCTATAAAATAGCATTAATAACATTTAAATCATTAAATGGCTTGGCTCCAGATTATATGTCCGATCGGTTTGTCAAGAAAACATCCTCCACGAACACCAGTTTAAGATCAGATGATAGGAACCTTTTCATGGTACCAGCTCATCGTTTGCAGACGGGATTGCGTGATATTGCTGTTGCCGGACCGATGATTTGGAACGCTCTGCCAGATCCACTGAGAATACCAGGAGTTTCTCTTGACAGTTTTAAAAAGGATTTAAAAACTCATTTATT